TAGGAGCTGCCATCGGTCAGGGCCAGCAAGTGGGCAGTGGCAGGCTGCCAGCCAAGGTGGGTGCCAACAGGGCCCCCCAATCGCCCCATCCGCTAGTTGCCCCGCAGAGGGAGGCAACTGGCGACTGGTGACAGCGGGGGATGGGGAGCCTCCCAACCGCCCCACAGATCAACCCTGATCACCCGCCAGGCCTAGGGACCCTACTCTATATATTGGGAACAGTCTCTTAGATTTAAAAATTAAAACCTGGCAAGGCTACTCTAACACTGAAAAAACAGGATGATGCAGTGGTGACATGCATGGATTCTGGCTTGCACATTTTGTAGTCAGCCCTGATTCTGACACTTAAAACTGGGTGACAAAGCCAATTGCTTAACTTCTCTCTGCTTCACTTTTTCTACCCATAAGATGGGGGAAATGGTGCTACTGTCTCAGAAGGATCATGTTATATACTACTTTTTATAATCAGGGCAAAAAAAATGTAGCTGCCCATACAACGGCAAGATGCCTTTTACCTGTATGAAAAGTATGGTCACTGGTGCATACAGCATCCCAGATTGCGAGAGGGATCCGACTGCCAGCTTAGGCACAATCCCCATGGGGATCAGACATCCCCACAAGGAGTCCCAGATTGCGAGAGGGCGCAGGCTGGGCTGAGGGACCACCCCTCCCCACCATGCACAAATTTCGTGCCCTGGGCCTCTAATCCTGTATAATAAAGGCTAATATGCAAATCGACCGAACAGCAGAACGACTGGTCATTATGACTCGCACTGACCACAAGGGGGCAGACGCTCGACGCAGGAGCTGGCCCCTGGTGGTCAGTGTGCTCCCACAGGGGGAGCGCTTCTCAGCCAGAAGCTGGGTTCATGGCTGGTGAGGGCAGTGGCGGTGGCAGGAGCCTCTTCTGCCTCTGCAGCAGCACTAAGGATCCCCCCCAGGGATGTCCAACTGACAGCTTTGGCCTGGCGGGAGCGGGCCTAAGTCATCAGTCAGATATCCCCTGAGGGCTCCCTGGATTGCGAGAGGGAGCAGACCAGGCTGAGAGACACCCCCCTGAGTTCACGAATCTTGTGCACCAGGCCTCTATTTGACCATAAAACACATTTTTCAAGGAATGGTCACTTTTAAAAGTGAAAAAAATCCATTGAATTCTTCTCACTATATGGTTCCACAGCCTACTCTGTTGACTTGCTATCTTTTGAGTCTTTTATTTTTTAGCTTACGATTAACAAATGTTAATGACCAAGAAAACTGAATATTAACACATCTATATACAATGAGGCAAAAGGTTCAAAATTATATCTGACTCTCTAACAAGGCTTTAAGTTTTCAAATTGCTATCATGTTAGAGCTTTTAAAGAGTGTCTCAGCAGCAACAGGACTACCGCAAAAGAGAAATTTAAATGGTGTGATATTATAGAGGCAAAAGGAAAGAACAGTCCAAAATTCCCCACTTCTATCAGAACGCTCCTAAAACTGATAGAGAACAATCTGTTAAGTTTCCTTGAGCAGCACAGAGATACAGTTCAGGAAAGCTTAATGGCCCATCCTGTACCTCAATACTACCAATGCTTTGTCCACTTTCCAGAAATATTAATATAACAGGCCCACTTGGGACATGGAGGATATAACAGATGATCCATGCAGAAAAGGTAACTTCTTGCCCTTGTGGTAATTGGATTGAGAACTTTGCAAAGACTATCTATGATAAACTAAATGTAAAAAGACCCCACAATCCATCAAGCATCATTAGTAGAAGGCATCATAACTAGAAGATATTTCTGAAATTAGCCTAGTTGATATTTTCTGATAAAACTAAACATGCAATTAGTATACTACCCAGCAACTGCACTCTTGGGCATTTACTCCAGAGAAATGAAAAGTTACATTCACACAGAACCTGTGCAAGAATGTTCATAGCAGCTTTATTTATAATAGCCCCAAAATGGAAACAGACCAGATATCCTTTAACAAGCAAGCGAGTGGTTAAACTATGGTGCATATACCACAGACTACTGCTCAGCAATAGAAAGGAACAAACTATTGATACACATAACAATTTAAATGCATCTCCAGGGAATTATATTAAGTGAAACAACCTAATCTCGAACTGCTCTATACTACATAATTCCATTAATATAACATTTCTGAAATGACAACATTTTAGAGATGGGTATAGAAACAAGGTGGGTGTGATTATACTAGTAAAAGGGCAAAACAGGGGACCATTGTGGTGGTGGAACTTTTTAGCATCTTGATTCTGGCAAGATGCACAACCTTTACATGTAATAAAACTCCATGGGTGTAAATATACACATGTGCGCACACACATAAACGAATACAAGTAATTCTGGGAAAATCTGAATAAGATCAGTGATTAAGACAATATAAATATCCTGCTTGTGATAATGTACTCTAGTTTTGCAGATGTTACCATCAGGGAAAACTTGATAAATGATACACAGGATGTCCCTATAGTATTTTTTAGAACAGTACTGAATCTACAATTACCTCCATAAAAATTTCAATTAAAAAACATCTTTTTAAGTTTAGCCTAGGAAGGTAGTTTCCCTGGCATCTCAGTTTCTTTCAGAGTTGAATTCAAACAGTGTGGCTTGCATGCGGGATACAAATGACTTACACTTGGGACATCAACTGCAACCTCCCTCATGGCACTGGGCCTGACATCATTCATTCCCTGCAAGAAATCTTTCAGAGTAATCTTCACCAACGCAGCCACCTTGCTGTCAGGGAGGTTAGGCTGTTTCTTCAGGACTCTCCTGAAGGCATTGAGCCCTACAAAGAGAAAAATAACACAAGATTTATCTTTTACCCCATAAATACAGACTGAACCATTACCATTAAAAATAATGACAACCTAAAACCTCATGTAATTATAGCATTTCAAATGGGTTGTGCTTGTGTGTATATATGGGGGTGGGAGGGTGGAGTAGAATATGGAAGAATGTGGGGGATAAAGGCAAAACTCCAAGTGCTTAGTTTGGCAGGGAAAATACAATAAACTGATATGAAACAGGAAAAGACAGATACTTTATAATTGTGAAATAAATAGAACAATACACATAAAAAAGACCATAACCGTTCATCAAAATAATCTGTTTGGAGAATTTCCTTTAATAGGATAAAATATTAAAATAATAACATATCTTTTGCTTCTGAACTTCTTGTCAATATATTCAAACCAGAGCTACAAGTTTGTAAGGTATTGGCAGAACATCTTAAAGGAAATATTCAGTTGGCAGGTTGGAAATGTAGTTTTGGAATTCAAGAGGAAGCCAGGCTTCAGTGTTATGTTCTATTATAGGATGGAAGAGACCTGTAAGGGAATACTAGGGGCTGAAACCCAGGCCTCTCTCTATGTCATTCTGTAAAAACTGAGGTTCAAGGAACTGCTGCTCTGGCTACTTCTGCTGCTGTCAGTAATATTCTGTCCTTTGACTATGACCAGGAATACTGTGTCTTCTGCAAGCACTTGTGAAACTTGTTAGCTTGCAAGTAGGGTAAAAATCTCAGATCCTTCTGTCCTAGCCGGTTTGGCTCGGCGGATAGAGCATCAGCCTGCAAACTGAAGGGTCCTGAGTTCGATTCCAGGCAAGGGCACATGTCCAGGTTGTGGGCTCGATTCCCAGTGGGGGACTTGCAAAAGGCAGCCGATCCATGATTCTCTCTCATCATGGATGTTTCTATCTCTCTCTCCTGCTTCCTTCCTCTCTGAAATCAATAAAAATATATTTTTTAAAAAATCTCAGACACTTTATAGCTCTTGTCACAAAAATAAAAATTTATGTTAAATTAGATTGTTTTGCTGTCCAACATTCTTTTTAGCTAAATTGTGCAATAGCATAGAAAACTAAATAAAACTTCGGTAATAAGATGCTGTGTTGTATTCAATATCACCTTGGTGGCCTAAAAGAATATAAGCAGTTTCTAAAAAAATCTCCCATAAATGAAAGTACTCAAAACACCACAAGAATCTTATTGTTCTTCATGTCCCAAGTAACTATATGGCAATACTTGTCAATATTTCTAAGGTAGACCAGACACCTTACTTACACCAGTACTGAAATACTAAAAACTGAAACAAGAGAAGTGGTCTAATAATTTTCCAGCCACACTTATGTCATGTAAGCACAAAGTTTGATAATGAAGGAGACCAATTATTTTCACTTGAAGAAGGGGTTTTAAAGGAGCAGAAAATATATGCTTTTTAAAAGGATACGTTATAAGTATATGTTTATAAAACAACAAAACTTCTGCACTTTCAAATACAAACTACAGAATTTAAGAGCTTGGCAAAATCTCGAGGTCTGTTAGGATAATAAGAAAACAGTAGTAGTTCCCAGAGGAGACAGAAAAGGCAAAAGATGAAAAAGACTTGAGTTTTCAACAATTAAGAAACAGTCAAGTACAAAGATTGATTCTATGACAAACACAGCACAACTTAACATATCCAAATAATAGGTAAACGTATTCACATAAAATATATGAAATACAACATGAAAATTTGTGGGATACTATTAAAGCTGTACTTATAAGGGAAGAGACAGATATAATACACATATTAGGAAAGAAGAAAAATGGATAAAAGTCTAAGAGGTGCTCATCTCAGCTCCTGTCAAGGACATCTAACAGTTTAGTGGGGATTAGTGACAGTTTAGGAAAACCCTTGCAGAAATCATTTAGTATATTCCTTTATTTCACAAATGATGAGAGACTACAAGGTCTATCCAAGTACAAGAAGTCAGACTTGAAAAATGAGTTCATATTAACTGATAACATGGGACTTAAGGACAAAGAGGCAGCAGAGTATTCCAGGCAGAGAGAACAGCATAAACAAAGGCCTAGAGACAAGAATAAGCTTAACATTTGAGACTAGGAGGCCCTGTAGAACAAGACAAAACCCCTGTCCTTAAAGAGGTCATTCTTAGAAATATGAAAGGACATGTTTTAAGAACATGTTTTAAATAAACCTAAATCCAACTTTATTAATTTGTTTGTAGATATATAAGAAGATAAAGTATAGTAGACTGCCAGAAAGGAACAAAGAACAATGTGGAAGTTACAGATATGCAAAAGCTGTCAGCCATAGGCCTTCAGATGTTAAATGAATATCAGAGCTTGCAATTTTAAAGATCCCTGGAGCCATCCTATTAATGCAACCAATCCTCCATGGTCCTATACCTGCCAATAGCTCAGAAAAACTGCCTCATTGGCCATCAGTTATCTCATTTATTAAATGGAAAGATTAAAATCTATATTGTCAATTATTTTTCAGCTTTAAAATCCTGTGATGCTAAGGTAAAATTATTGGACATCAACCATTCCTCACAAAGACATATTAGAATTTATGCCAAGAAATTAACTATTTAAAAATACACATATTTTTATAAAGCAGAAGTAAACAATTAACCAGAGAAGCAAATGGACACATGTACATGATCAAGGAATATAGCTTAAAGCAGTGGTTCTCAACCTTGCTAACGTCGTGACCCTTTAATACAATTCCTCATGTTGTGGTGACCCCCAATTTCATTGTTGCAAATTGAACATAATTAAAGGATAGTGATTAATCACAAAAACAATATGTAATTGTATATGTGTTTTCCGATGGTCTTAGGCGACCCCTGTGAGAGGGTTGTTCGACCCCCAAAGGGGTCACGACTCACAGGTTGAGAACCACTGGCTTAGAGCAAGCAATCTATGACATTTCCTTCCCTTGCTAAGTTTAAAGTTAGTTTTTAAAATGTAAACAAAAACAGAAGCAAACTTCACTGTTCTTAAAATTTTTTTTAAACAAAAAACAGGTGTAACTAATTAAACAAAAAGTGTGTCATTTTGTCTTCATTATTTTATTTTCCAATGCTCTCAAAGCTGAGAATAGAAAACAAGATGCAATGAAGAGAAGAAAAGGCAAAATGCCCCAGGCAAGCCTAATGCCAACACAGTCCTTCCAGTATATGAGGCATTCCCTCTCAAGCTCCACATCACCATTCAGATATAATCATTTCAGGACAAAAGCAATTACTCTAAATTATGCTCTTCAATATTATATGCTCCAGATTCAATCAACAAACATCATGTAGCCACACACATATGGAATCCCATAATTTTACACTCAATACTTGCTAAATTATGTTATGTTTGAAAGTGCAATTAAGTTTCCTTATTACAAACTAATAATGAACTTCACGAGAAACCAGATGGCAGCATAGGTAAACACCGGAGTTTGCGGCCTCGAACAACCACTTCAAAAATACAACTAAAAGACAGAACGGACATCATCCAGAACCACAGGAAGGCTGGCTGAGTGGAAATTCTACAACTAGAAGGAAAGAGAAAAGCATACTGAGACTCAGAGGAGGCGCAGTGCAGAAGTAAAATACTAAGGTGCGGAGGCGCATGCGGAGAGGGCTGGCAGATGAGGACACGGTTGTCGTTTTCAATCAGGAAGGAGTCTCAGGCTCTGAGTTCCAGTTCTGGGCGAGTCTCTGGGGACCCAGACTCATATGGGAGAAGCGGGACTGTCTGGCATCGGTCAGAACTCAAGGGCAGCTTTCTCTCGGAGGGGCTTGCAGGGATTACCA